AATTCCCGGTGATATCCCAGAGATCCCCAGTGATATCCCATGGTATTCCCACTGATATTCCCACTGACATTCCCGGGATTTTCCCACTGCTGTTCCCGGGATTTTCCTGGGATTTTCCCACTGACATTCCCGCTGCTATTCCTGGGATAATCCCGCTGCTATTCCCAAGATTTTCCTGGGATTTTCCCACTGCTGTTCCCGGGATTTTCCTGCTGATATTCCCAAGATTTTCCCGGGATTTCCCCGCTGCCATTCCCGGCATTTTCCCACTGCTATTCCCCCATTATTCCCCCATTATTCCCCCATTATCTCCCCATTATTCCCCGATTATTCCCCCATTATTCCCCGATTATTCCCCCATTATTCCCCGATTATTCCCCCATTATTCCCCGATTATTCCCCCATTATTTCCCCCATTATTCCCCCATTTTTCCCCGTTGTTATCCCCCGTTATTCCCGTTATTCTGACCCCGAGGTGACGGCGTATTTGATGTGGTTGGACGTGGTGTAGATGAAGACGCCGCTCTCGTCCCAGGCCCCGCTCTTCACCCGGATGTTCTCGTGGATCTGGCACAGCGACTCCAGCTTCCGGTTACAGATCAGGATGGCTGCCAAAAAAAACCCAAAAAAACGGGAATGAGGGCGAGATGGAATCCCCTGAGGCTGAGCCCAGGGCTGGCATTCCATGAAAAACCGGGAGAGTGCACAAAAAACTCGGAAATTCCCTCGAGGAACAGGGGGTTTCCATAAAAACACCAGGATTTTCCATAAAAAAACACAGAAATTCCATTTAAAAAACCCTGGGGTTTTCCATAAAAATCTCTGGATTTTCCACTAAAAACCCAGAAATTTCATATGAAAAAAACGGGGGTTTTCCATAAAAACACCAGGATTTTCCATAAAAAAACACAGAAATTCCATTTAAAAAACCCTGGGGTTTTCCATAAAAATCTCTGGGTTTTCCATAAAAACCTGGGATATTCCATAAAAACATGGGTTATTCCATAAAAAACCCCCAGAAATTCCATTTTTAAAAATGGGTTTTTTTCCATTAAAACCTGGGATTTTCCCATAAAAACCCTGGGATTGACCATTAAAATCCCAGAAATTCAATTTTTAAAAAATGGGGTTTTTTTCCATTAAAACCTGGGATTTTCCATAAAACTCTGGGGTTTTCCCATAAAAATTTGGGATTTTTCCATAAAACCCTGAGATTTTCCATGGAAATCCTGGGATTTTTCCCATAAAAAATTGGGATTTTCCATGGAAATCCAGGATTTCCCCGGGCTCACCGTGCTTGGCCAGCAGGGCCACGTGGGACATGTCAGCTGACCAGATCACATATTTCACCTTGGAAATCTTCACCGAGGCCAAAGTCCTGCAAAAAAACCCAAACCCAGCATCAGGGACGGCCCAAAATCCTGCCCTGCCACCCCCAGGGTCCCAAAAAACTCCAGTGGGTCCCAAAAATCCCCATTGGATCCCTTTTCCAGCCTTTCCCAGCTCTCCACAGGCACAAGCAGAATTTTGGGTGGGAAAAGAAGGATTTGGGGTGATAAAACCAGGATTTGGGTGATAATATCAGGGTTTGGGGTGATGAAATCAGGATTTTGGGGTGCTAAAATCAGGATTTGGGGTGATGAACCCAGGATTTGGGGTGATAAACCCATGATTTGGGGCAGGATATCAGGATTTGGGGCAGGATATCAGGATTTAGGGGTGCTAAACCCATGATCTGGGATGATAAACCCAGGATTTTGGGGATGATAAACCCATGATTTGGGATGATAAACCCAGGATCTGGGACAGGATATCAGGATTTGGGGCAGGATATCAGGATTTGGGATCCTACACCCCTGATGTGGGGCAGGATATCAGGATTTGGTGCAGGATATCAGGATTTAGGGATCCTAAACCCAGGATTTGGGGCAGGATATCAGGATTTAGGGATGCTAAACCCATGATTTGGGATCCTAAACCCATGATGTGGGGCAGGATATCAGGATTTGGTGCAGGATATCAGGATTTAGGGGTGATAAACCCAGGATTTGGGGCAGGATATCAGGATTTGGGGCAGGATATCAGGATTTNCAGCTGACCAGATCACATATTTCACCTTGGAAATCTTCACCGAGGCCAAAGTCCTGCAAAAAAACCCAAACCCAGCATCAGGGACGGCCCAAAATCCTGCCCTGCCACCCCCAGGGTCCCAAAAAACTCCAGTGGGTCCCAAAAATCCCCATTGGATCCCTTTTCCAGCCTTTCCCAGCTCTCCACAGGCACAAGCAGAATTTTGGGTGGGAAAAGAAGGATTTGGGGTGATAAAACCAGGATTTGGGTGATAATATCAGGGTTTGGGGTGATGAAATCAGGATTTTGGGGTGCTAAAATCAGGATTTGGGGTGATGAACCCAGGATTTGGGGTGATAAACCCATGATTTGGGGCAGGATATCAGGATTTGGGGCAGGATATCAGGATTTAGGGGTGCTAAACCCATGATCTGGGATGATAAACCCAGGATTTTGGGGATGATAAACCCATGATTTGGGATGATAAACCCAGGATCTGGGACAGGATATCAGGATTTGGGGCAGGATATCAGGATTTGGGATCCTACACCCCTGATGTGGGGCAGGATATCAGGATTTGGTGCAGGATATCAGGATTTAGGGATCCTAAACCCAGGATTTGGGGCAGGATATCAGGATTTAGGGATGCTAAACCCATGATTTGGGATCCTAAACCCATGATGTGGGGCAGGATATCAGGATTTGGTGCAGGATATCAGGATTTAGGGGTGATAAACCCAGGATTTGGGGCAGGATATCAGGATTTGGGGCAGGATATCAGGATTTAGGGATCCTACACCCCGATGTGGGGCAGGACATCAGGATTTGGGGCAGGATATCAGGATTTTGGGATCCTACACCCCCGATGTGGGGCAGGATATCAGGATTTGGGGCAGGATATCAGGATTTAGGGGATCCTACACCCCCGATGTGGGGCAGGATATCAGGATTTGGGGCAGGATATCAGGATTTAGGGATCCTACACCCCCGATGTGGGGCAGGCTCGCCCTGTCACCGTTTCTGCTGCACGTCGAAGAGCGTGACACCGTCGGGCTCCCGCAGCAGGAGGCTCCCGGTGCCCGCGTAGAAAATCTCCTCGCAGTTGGGGACCGGAACCTTCTTGGTGATCTCGTTCTTCAGGTTCTTGATCAGGATCTGCCCCCCCCGGGACACAATTCCCAACCTTTCAGGGGGTTCCAGGAGGTTTTGGGTTTTTTTTTTTTTTTTTCTGGGATTTTTCTCTCCCCTACCCAACCCACCCCCTTTTGTTTGTTTGTTTTTGAGGGTTGGGAATTTGGATTTTTTTCCCAGAATTGCGGGATTTGGGAGGTTGGAAAAGCCCTGCAGGGGAATCAAACCCAACCCAAATTCCAGGAATTCCCTGCAGGGATGGGGATCCGACCCTCCCTGAGCCCCTTTTGGTGTTTCCCAACCCTTTTTCCATGGAAAAATCATCCCAAATTTCCCACCTGGCACACCTCGAGGCTTGTCCCGTCCCATCCCCTGGGATCAGATCCCAAATCCCCCCCCTGGCAGATCCCAAATTTCCTCTGGCAGATCCCAAATTTCCCCCTGGATCCCCCTTTTCTCCAGCCTGATCCCCCCCAGCTCCCTCAGGAATTCTCCATTCCTGCTTTTCCCAACCCTTTTTATTTAGGATCCGGGACCCCTGGATCCAATCCCCGTTATCCCAATCCCCGTTATCCCAATCCCAACCCGTTTTTGGGGTCTGGATCCGATCCCATTTTCCCCATTTTCCCCGTTTTTCCCGTTTTTCCCGTTTGTTTTTCTCACCGAGTGCATCCTGTCCAGGACAGCGAATCGATTCCGCGCCACCCACACGGCCGTGAGCCCCGAGGAGCGCTTCCCCTCGGGAGCTGGGACCCCAAAAACAGGAGGGTAAACACGGGAGAGCCCCAAAAACAGGAGGGTAAACACGGGAGAACCCCAAAAATACCCCGAAAACACGGGGAGAGCCCCAAAAACGGCGGGATAACCCCAGAAACAGCAGGAGAACCCCAAAAACATCGGGATAAACATCGGGATAACCCCAAAAACAGCAGGGTAAATATCGGGAGAACCCCAAAAATATCGGGATAACCCCAGAAACAGCGGGATAACCCCAAAAACAGCCCCAAAAACATCGGGATAACCCCAAAAACACCGGGATAACCCCAAAAACGACCCCAAAACCATCGGGATAACCCCAAAACCAGAGAGATAAACACCAGAATAACCCCAAAAACATCGGGATAAACANCGGGATAACCCCAAAAACGACCCCAAAACCATCGGGATAACCCCAAAACCAGAGAGATAAACACCAGAATAACCCCAAAAACATCGGGATAAACACGGGGATAACCCCAAAACCAGCAGGATAAACATCAGGATAACCCCAAAAACAGTGGGACAAACACGGGGATAACCCCAAAACCAGCCCCCAAAACTTCGGGATAACCCCAAAAACATCGGGACAAACATTGGGATAACCCCAAAAAACAGCCCCCAAAACATCAGGATAACCCCAAAAACTTCGGGATAACCCCAAAACCATGGGGATAACCCCGGGAATCCAGGCCTTGGGATGGGATTTTCAGGATTGATGGCATTTGGATTAATGGGATTTATGAGACTGGGATAGGATTTATAGGATGGGATTGGATTCATGGATTTATGGGATTTTTTTTTTATTGTGATAGGATTGGATTTATGGGATGGGATTTACAAAATAAACAACAAAAGGGGATTGGAGGGATTTTTTTTTTCCCTCAAAAATGTGGGATTCAAGGAACTTTTCCCCAAAAATCAGGGATTTGAGGGTTTTTTTTCCCCCAAAACTTGAAGGATTTGAGGATTTTTTCCCCCAAACTTCAGATTTTTGAGGGTTTTTTTCCCCCAAACCTTTCCCTTCTCCCTCCTCTGCCAGTGGAATTTTCCTTTTTCCCTCTTTTTTTTTTTTTTTTTGGGAGCTGCTGGTTTGAAATTCCAGCTGCTCCTCTGTCACATCCAGGGATTTGATTGATTTTCCCAATATCCCAGCTGGACAAAACTTCCCCCAAAAATATAAAAATTAAAAAAAAAAAAAATTTTTATCCCGTTTCTCTCCTCCAAATCCACCCCAGCAGGGAAATATTCCCTGCTCCAAACCCTCAGGAATCCATAAATCCCTGGAAAAAAAATCCCCAAATCCATCATTTCCCCTGGCAGGGGGAGCAGCTGGAATTTCAAAGCAGGAAAAAAAATAAAAATAAAATTAAAAAAAAAAAAAGACAAATTGGGAGTTTTTATCCCGTTCAATCACGGCTTGGAATCGTAAATTCCTCCCCCCCAAAAAAATAAAAAAAATTAAAATTATGTGGGATTTACCAGCAAAAGGAAAACAAAATAATTCCTGGGATTGTCATTTTTAAAGCTTTTTATCCTGTGGATAAAACATCCCAAAAATCCACCCCAGATCCATCAATTTTGGACAAAGCCAGGAAATCTCCAGCTGGGAGGAAAATTTGGGAAGGGAAAGGAGAATTCCTGATAAAATATGGATGGGGGGGATGGAAAAATTTGAATTTTTCAAGGGAGAAGAGGAAAGCTGCCAAAAATCCGGGAAAAAAAGGATTTTTGGGGGAAAAAATAAGATTTTTGGGGGCAAAAAGGAGATTTTTTTGGGGGGAAAAAAGGGATTTTTAAGGATAAATAAAGGGGAAAACGGAGGGGGAGGGTGGGGATGGAAATTCCAGGGATTTTTAGGATTTTTGGGAACACTCACCATCGGGATTTTGGGAATCTGCATCCTTGGGGATGGTGTACAGGTCGTAGGTGCTGTTCTCCAGGTTGCTGGCTCGCTGGGGGACACAAAATG